GTGGGGGTCCTCTCCCTTCCTCCTTGGAGCTGAACCCGTGACAGCCTTGGGAGCAGGTCACTCATTTGGGAGAGGATCCCAGGAAACGGGCACGAGGGAGACGGGAGAAGAGATGAACGAAGCCATCAGGCTCAAAGCCACAGGGACACGTGGGCAGCACGTGGGGCATCCCCACAAGTTCCTCACTAAAGGACAGGAGGCTGGAGAACTTAATCAGCGGCTCCGGCTCTTATTCGGGGAGCGCTGCCCCAGACGGTGTCACACACACTCCCTCACTTCCAAGCTGAGCTTGACTAGTCCGGGAGGGCCACCACCGCTCCCCCACATCGGGGGAGCCCTGGACTTGGGACCTGGCCACGGAGCTCCCGGGGACCTGGCCAGGAAGAGGCGGCGGAAAGCAGCAGCAGGCTGGGGGAGGGGAACGCAGGCTTGAGAGCCATCTCCTCCCCTGAAATAACTAGTGTTCATGATAAAATCTAATCATCGTTTCCAACATGACCTCTGGCCAACGCTGTCCCGTTAAGTGGCATGGGACACGGGCTGTGACTTCCGGTTACATAACATTCTGCACACCAGGACAGCTGAGGAAAAGCGGAGTTCTGCCAGTTTGGGGGCTGGGGAGGTAGTGGCTCAAGGGGGAACAAAGTGAACGAAGTACCTAAGATTTAAGGAAAGCCGTTAAAAAAAAAAAAAGGCAGTTCACGTTTGAGCCGAGTTTAAAGGGTATGATGCACAAGGAACTGGGAGGAAGAGAGAACAGGAAGGTGGATTATCTCTTAGGGTAAGAATCTCCTTGTGACAGTTGATTAGGGGACACTCAAAACACGGACCCCCATCTGTTCCAATAGAGGGAAACGCTGGGGGAGACTGTTGCGTCTTACGATTGTTATTAATAGCGCCAAATAATTTATAGAAGATCTGATTAAAAGTAATGGGGCATCCGTGTAGCTCCCCCAGGAAAGTGGGGTGGGGGTAGCGTTCAAGGAACACGAAATCAACACTCATTAGCAGAGAGGGTACCTCTGGGGACACAGGTGTGAGGCACCAGGCTGCATCCGCTCTCTCACGCTCAGCCCATGCCATGTGCAGAGCGGCAAGGACCCATCGGCCCAGGAATGGTCCCCGCTTGATAATCTGGCTTCGCGGGTAACATGGTGTCCCTGGAACCACAGACAAGACAGGATGACTACACCCCGGGATGCGCCTGGGGGGAGGAGGAGACGCCTCCAAAAAGGATAAAGATCGTGTTTCTCCCCCAACCTGGGAGAGGAGTGGTTTCGCATGAGGAATTAAGTTGCTCGGAGAGCCTTGGGTGCTCTTAATGTCAACTCAGGTCATGATCTCACAGTGTGTGAGTTCGAGCCCCACCTGTGCTGGCAGCGTGGAGCCTGCTTGGGATTCTCTGTGTGTCTCTCTCTCTGTTCCTGCCCCACTTTCTCTCTCTCTCTCTCTCTCCCCCCAAATAAACAAACTTTAAAAAAATTAAGTTGCGGGGCACCTGGGTGGCTCAGTCGGTTAAGCATCCAATTTCAGCTCAGGTCATGATCTTGTGGTTTGTGGGTTCGAGTCCCACGTCGGGCTCTGTGTTGACAGCTCAGAGCCTGGAGCCTGTTTCAGATTCTGTGTCTCCCTCTCTCTCTGACCCTCCCCTGCTCAAGCTGTCTCTCTCTCTCTCCCTCCGTCTCTCTCTCTCTCAGAAATAAACATTTTAAAAAAATTAAGTTGCTCTGTTGAGAATAAATAGAAGTGGTATTTCTTATGCCCCTAGGCAGGCTAAGATCCCTACCCAGGCATTCTTTATTTTAGCAGAAACTGCCAAAAAGGAGACTATTCACAAAGCCCAGGAGTGCCTGTGACCACTTCCAGTGTTCTCTCCCAGATTTGACCTCTTTTTAGTTCTGGATAATCTACCCGGAAAAATGGTGTCGGAGTCTCATTTTGGATGCGCGCCTCTCCAACTCCCCAGAAGGCTGGACATTTTCCCCGTTTATTGTCCGTTTGTATTTCCTCTTCAGTGGATCTGTTCATATCTTCTGCCCAATATTCTGCAAGGTAATTCATCTTTTTGTCACTGATCTGAAAGTATTCTTTTTCTGTAAGAGATAGTAACCAATCGCTGCCTATGGCAAATGTTTTCTTCCTGTCTTTTCACTTTGCTTCTGGTGGTTTTCTTTTCATACTCTCAATTTTGGATTGCCTATCTTGTTAAGAAAATCTCTCCATTTCACAGCTTTATAAATATTTAAAATGCTCTTCTGTGTCCTTATGCATATTTCTTCCATCTTATATACACCCACACAGATGATCACGAAATCCATCTGGAATGTGCTGCCGCGTGTGTGCATGCGTGTGTGTGTGTGTGCGTGTGTGCGTGCATGCTCACGTGTGTGTAGGAGCAAAGGGACTCCGTGCTTCCAGAGGTTAGAGGATCCTCGCGTGCAGCACCAGACGTGACATGAAGCAAGCACTCAAGTCCACTGCTAAATTCTGCCTCCCACACTTTCCAGCTCGAAAGCCGTCTCCATCCTCCCTGCTACTTAAGAAGGAAGGGGAGGTAATCCCTGCCGAGGGCCTCTCCTCAAGTCCACAGCCACCAGCCACTCTCAAATCCCCGCAGCGCTTCTGCCTGAACATCTCCACCCCCTCCTCCCCTGCTGCCTCCTCCTGGCTCCAGGCTACCATCATCTCATCCCAACCGCCCCCCACCCTGCCCTGGCCTCCCTGCTCCCCCCTTCCAATCCGCTCTCCACCCTGCAACCAAGAGTCTTTCTACAGATGGAGTCCCCCGCCACCCCACTGCCTAAAGCCATTCCTCCCAGAGCCCCCACCGCCTTCAGAAGACAGTCCAAACTCCCACGTAGGGTGGGCTCTGTTCCGCTGGATCCAGGCACTTCTCACCCTTTGTTAAAAATAAAAACCTTCATGGGGCGCCTGGGTGGCTTAGTCGGTTGAGCGTCCGACTTTCGCTTAGGTCATGGTCTCGCTGTTCGTGGGTTCGGGCCCTGCGTCGGGCTCTGTGCTGACTGCCAGCTCAGAGCCTGGAGCCTGTTTCAGTTTGTGATTCCCTCTCTCTCTGACCCTCCCCTGTTCGCGCTGTCTCTCTCTCTCCTAGAAATAAAAAAGAAAAAAAAAAGAAAAAAATAATAAAAAAATAAAAAAGATAAAAAATAAAAAACCTTCAGGGGCGCCTGGGTGGCTCAGTCAGTTGAGCATCCAACTTTGGCTCAGGTCATGATCTCGCGGTTCATGGGTTTGAGCCCTGTGTCGGGCTCTGTGCTGACAGCTCAGAGCCTGGAGCTGCTTCAGATTCTGTGTCTCCCTCTCTCTCTCTGCCCCTCCCCTGCTCACGCTGCCTCTCTCTCTCAGAAATAAATAAAATATAAAAATTAATTAACTAGTTATTTAATTAAAAACCTTTGGGGGCGCCTGGGTGGCGCAGTTGGTTAAGCATCCAATTCTTGGTTTCGACTCAGGTTATAGTCTCACAGTTCAGGAGTTCAAGCCCCATATCAGGCTCTGCACTGATAGCACATAGCCTTCTTGGGATTCCCTCTCTCCCTCTCTCTCTCTGTCCCTCCCCCCACCCCTGCTCACTCTCTCAAAATAAATATTTTAAAAATAACAACAAAAGAAATAAAAACATTCACACCATCATTTCTCAAATTATGTCTCCCAGCTCCACATGCTGGCCAAACTACTTTTGGTTCAGTTCCTCAAAAACACCAAGCCTCCTTATAAAATAAGAAATCACAGGGATGAAAAATACGGCATAGGGAATATGGTCAGTGATACAGTAATTGCATCACCTGGTGACACAGGGTAACTATAGACATCGGGCCAAGCAATGCGTGATGTACAGAATCGTTGGGTCACTATGATGTACACCTGCAACTAACATAACATTGTGCATCAACTGTACTTCAATTTACACACACACACACACACACACACACACACACACACACCTGGCTCTGCCCCAGCTCAGCTATTGAAATTGAACACACGTCTGTAGAGGTCCTACCCCCACTGATCTGATGCAGCAGGTCAGATGGGTCCCGGCACCCACGTTTGATGATGATCTCCACGGCCAGGGTAGAGAGCCACTGCTCTGTCTCAAGGTTTGGGGCTTGTCGCTCCCTCTGCCTGGGACCCTTTCCTACCTCCTTCCACCCCAGCCCCCCCGCATCGCCGGATATTGTCTCTTCTTCCATAAAGCCAAGACTTAGATGCCCCTTCCTCCAGGAACTTTCTCAGACCATCCCAGCTAGGAAGCACCCACCCCCACGCTCCCCCAGCCCCCTCCCCCGGCCGTCATCATCACGCATTCATCTCCTGCCTCGGACACCCACCACGTCTGGGAGAAACTGGGATGGCGTGCCGGTCTCACTCACCACTATATTCCCTGCACCCAGCAGAGATGACACAGAGTAGGTGCTCCACAAATGACGGCTGTTAGAAAAGAAAATGAATTAACAAATTGGATGAGTGGATGCCTGTGGCAGTTTCCATGACAAATAAGCAGCGCTGGGCCATGCGAGCCCACGGAGGAGCGGTCTGGCCTGCAGGGGGCACCAGCCTGCTTCCTAATCTCCCTGCCCGAGCCGTACCTGCTGTCAGTCAAGAGAGGCGTCTGATGCTCAGTGGTCGCTTCGCCGCTCGGAAAACGAAGGAAGAGCCCTCTGCCCACGGCCCGTGTATGAAGACTGGGTGTCCGCCCCTCCCTTCTAGCAACAGGTGCCTCATCCCCAGTCCAGCTTCGAAAACAGCCAAAGCTGTAGCAACCGGGGGCAGGGTCTCCCGTTCCCAGGAGGGGAAGAGGTAAGAGGGAGAAGGAGGGCGACAGAGAGGAGTGTCCGTGAAACTGCCTGTCCTGGAAAAGCAGAGGAAAGTTCTTTGGTCTGTCTGCAGGCTGACTCTCTCTCCCCCTCTCTCCATCGTTTCGTTCTGGGGGAGAACAAGACCTCGGTCTGGACTGGACAGGCATCCACAAGCATCATCTGGAGGGAGAGTTTTCTTCTTTGCAGTAAACAGCAGCCGCCGCCGCCTCTGGACATTGCTGGAGCCCCAGCTCAGAAGATCAGCCCGTCTGTTAGCCATGAACGCTTCGTGCTGCCTGCCGTCACCTCAACCAACGCTGCCCAACAGCTCAGAGCCCCTCACGGCCCCTTCCTTCGGCAACCAGAGCGGCAGCAGGTTTTGCGAGCAGGTCTTCATCAAGCCCGAAGTCTTCCTAGGGCTGGGCATCATCAGCCTGCTGGAGAATGTCCTGGTCATCGTGGCCGTGGCCAAGAACGGCAACCTGCACTCGCCTATGTACTTCTTCCTCTGCAGCCTGGCGGTGGCCGACATGCTAGTGAGCGTGTCCAACGCCCTGGAGACCGTCATGATCGCCGTCATCAACAGCAACTACCTGACCTTCGAGGACCAGTTCGTGCAGCACATGGACAACGTCTTCGACTCCATGATCTGCATCTCCCTGGTGGCCTCCATCTGCAACCTCTTGGCCATCGCGGTGGACAGGTACGTCACCATCTTCTACGCGCTGCGCTACCACAGCATCATGACCGTGCGGAAGGCCCTCGCCTGGATCGCGGCCATCTGGGTGTGCTGCGGCGTGTGCGGCGTGGTGTTCATCGTCTACTCTGAGAGCAAGATGGTCATCGTGTGCCTCATCACCATGTTCTTCGCCATGCTGCTGCTCATGGGCACCCTCTACGTGCACATGTTCCTCTTCGCCCGGCTGCACGTCCAGCGCATCGCAGCGCTGCCGCCCGCCGACGGGGCGGCCCCGCAGCCGCACTCGTGCATGAAGGGGGCCGTGACCATCACCATCCTGCTGGGGGTGTTCATCTTCTGCTGGGCCCCCTTCTTCCTCCACCTCATCCTCATCATAACCTGCCCCACCAACCCCTACTGTGTCTGCTACGCGGCCCATTTCAACACCTACCTGGCCCTCATCATGTGCAACTCCATCATCGACCCCCTCATCTATGCCTTCCGGAGCCTGGAGCTGCGCGCCACCTTCAAGGAGATCCTGTGCGGCTGCAACGGCATGAGCCTGGGCTAGGGCGCCAGGGCCCTGGGAGGGCGCGGGGGTGCGGTCACTGCTGGCCCTCCATCCTGCCACAGGGTTTAGAAAAAGAGAAGAGATACTCGGAAGACATGAAGTCTGCCGACAGCCGCGATCACCCGTGTCTTTTTGCTTTTACGCATGCAAAGCCTTTGGAAGGGGGGGGGACATGGTATGTAACAGGCGTTCCGAAAGGATTCCAAAGTGGGTAAGGCCCTGCTCTCCCGAAGAGGCCCTGGCAGAGCTCAGGGAGGGAGCTGCCCGTGTTCATTTCCACGCAGCCGGGCTCTGGAAAGCCCACCTCCTCACCTGCTTCCCCCCCCCTCTGGCCCCGGGTCTCCCTGCCGCCAGTCAGACTGGACGGAAGGGCTCTCGCTGACTGTAAGAGGGGATCCAATGTCTCCCAGGCAAACCTGTCTCAGTCCTGGCTGTCAGCTGCTCACATGGCCTCACCTGTATTTCCTAAGAGACTGAGCGTTTATTCTATTACTCTCTTTACAGTAAAAACAATTTCCTAAAAACACCGAGCTCTGTATGAAAGAAGTGATGCTATGTATGCCCCTCTGCTTGACCCCCAGGCCAGCCCTCCCCCCCACAAAAACTAGCCTGGGGATGTAACTCACTTCTATTTCAGCTGCTGCGACACATACCTGTGTACGGCGTATTTTGATACCTTGCTAGTGTAAGGTATAATTTTCCATATTTAAAGAAAACCCTTTTTCCTATTATTCCTTTTCCATCATGAAAGCGAGAGAGAGAATCCTGGATGGGAGGAGGGGGCACGCATCTCGGGAAATTGCTTCACTGTCATTTCGGAGAGTTTCGGGAACCATGGAAATGCACGGGGCTTTCTCGGGAGTCTCCCCTTTGGCTCAGAGCAGCCGTGTCTCTATCACTCTGCTTCCTGCATGTAGAGAAACGTCTTGGCTCACTGCTCCTTTTGTTCGGCACGGTGTTCAAGTTGGGGTGACCCCGCTAGCAGTGCCAGTACCTCACCAATTGCCGCAGTTCACTCCTGTGAGCACGGGGCAAGCTCTGCAGACCGCCGCTGCTGCCGCACATTCAGCGCCGCACGCTACACACACCGTCAGACCCCTCCTGCCCTAGACAGCTGTGGGCTGTCCCTTCCCACTGTCCTCACGCTGCCCCACCGTGGAGTCTCATAACATGCTGTGTTTTGGGTACAAAACTGTGTATTTTTCTAGTGCTGGAATATATTGTGGGTTTGTTGTGGGGTTTGGGGGTTTTTTTGTACTTGAAGACATCCTGCTAATATAAGCAATATCGTCAGTCTGTTGCTTTGCTTGTGATGTGTGGAAATAATAAAAGGCTTCTGTGGCTGCTACACGTGTGACACATTAGAATCCACCGCCAGGAGGCGCCCTGGTGACCTCCGCACCCGGCCATCATCATTCCTCACGCTGCAATTCTGAGTATTTTGTAAATGGCCTAAACGCTGCCATTGACCACAGTGCTCATCTCCTGCAAGGCGATGCCTTTTAGCCAGACGACAACATTCTCCCATTTGGTTTCCAAAAATACCAGCCGGCCGTTCCTGGGCCGCTGCCACTCTCTGTTATTTTCGCTGAGACACCAAATAATAGGTGTCGGCCACTGCCACTCGGGCAGCCAATGTGGAAAACGAGGAATCAGGTTTTTTGAAAACTGTATTAACAACCATAAAGATTATGACGCCCTTTTCCTGTGTAAACAAGATAAAAGTAACTTTTCACTCTCTGAGATGGGCTTTCACGTTACTTTGCTCATCTGCTCCACAAACTTGTAAAATAGGCGAGTCTTTTTACAGGTCAGGAACAGCCCCCGCAGGGCCGTGCAGCTGCCCGGCAATTCCCAGCTGGTCAGGGTCACAGCGTGTCCCGTGTCCCGGTGCTGATGTCCTTTTGCACCGACACAGTGCAGGCAACAGGTTTCTGGGTCCAAACCTCACTGTAGACATTTGAGCCTACAGGAGCGCGCCCGGATGTCAGCGCCCACAACAATCACCGGAGATGTAGTTCCAGTGCAAAATTCAAATCAGCAGGTCTGGGTGGAGCCTAAGACTCTGCATTTCTGACTCAGCCAAGCCCCCGGGGGATGGGACTGCTGGTCCAAGGACCACCTTTCACAAAGCAAAGGCAGGAGGACTTTCAAATGAGCACAATGGAAACCCAGACATATTCGTCTGCGTAGACTGCAGACCCCATGCCAAGAAGCGTGCTGGGTACCTTACGGGCATTTGCTTCTCTGACCCTCACAGTAACTCACGAGACAGATCCTCTGATCCCCTTAGTTTGTAGATGAGACATCTGAAATGCAGAGATGAAGGAGCTTATCTACGAAAATTCAGCCAGCAAGTACAGAAGCCGAGGTCCAAACTCAGGCTGCCCAGCCCACATCCCCAGGTCCAATGCCAATGCCCCAGCACTGCTCATGGAAACAGTATAAAGGGCTGAGCCATGACCCAGTGACATCAGAGGCACGTGCTGCCATGGAGAGAGACGAAAGCATAATTCTACAACTCACAAGTCCAGAATTTCATAACAGAGTATCCATAGAAATGTCATAAAATCCAAGAAGCAATTAATCATTTTATTTGCTCTCCTTTCCCAAAGCCTGTGGGGAGCCCTGGGAAGTGCATCCCTTATTGGGGGTGAACAACCTTGAACATTCGGCTGCCAGGGCCACTTTCCCACATCTTCATGTGAGAACACACTCGAAATTTTAAAGCAGGAGGAATCGGGTTTAAAAATGCCTAATTTGGGGATATAGAAGCTCATCACGATTCTAGGCAGGACCACTGCAGTGGTTGACGCCACGGGTGTCTAGAAATCATTGCCTGTTGTCCTTACTTAAGCTGAACTCTTGAGCTTAATTCTGATGTTTTCCTTTAGGACTGGAGGCTACAACATACTCAAGCCTCCTTGCCTGAAAACCTTCACCCACCCTCGCCTCCCCCGAAATCCATTCTCCACACAGCAGCCAGTGCAATCCTTTAAAAAATCTAAATCACATCACATCACCCTCCTGCTAACATTCCTCAGTGGCTTCGAATAAAACCTCGCTTCCTGACCTGGTCCCACAGAGCCTTAATGATCTGATCTCTGGTAAATCGCCAAGCTCCCCTGCTCCCACTTAACCATCCCCACTGGACTCAAACTCACTGGACTCGTTGCTGGCCCCCAGGGCCTTTGCACTTGCTATTCCCTCTACTACAAGTCTCTTCACCCCATATCTTCCCATGACTGGCACCTTCTTATCATTCAGGCTCCAGTCCAATTCTCAGAGATGCCTTTGCAGACTCCTCTTTCTCAGGAAGACCCCAGGTATTCACGTGAAGTTGTGTTTTTTTTTTTATCACAGACCTTGTTGCTAGTTTATATTTTCTTGTTTGTTGATTCGTTTAATTCTCATCAATCTCTCCCATCAGAAAGCAGTGTCCAGCATATAAAACTAGCCAGTGAAGAGTATGTGTTAAATGAATAAGTGACTTCACGAATACACTCAAATATGGATTCAAGTCTAAAACCAAAGAGAAGGTAATATGCCAGTGATCCTCAGATTTGGCGAGTATCAGTACCAAAGGTGGAATCTCAGAAAAACAGCCCAGTCTCTGAAACTTATGACCTAGTAGATCAGGGGTAACGCCAGGCATCTGAAATCCTTAGAATCTGCAGTCAATTACGATGCACACCATAAGTATGAGATCCACCTACAGGCACTGCTGTTTCTGAAGAATAACAAAAACCAGCACCTCGGGAGCTTAAGTCTCTTCCCCTCACCATTTCCTGTCACAGTGTCAAGCACCAGTGGTTAATGGTGGGTGATCCAAGAACGAACATCAATCTAGAAACTGAGACACCAGATGCACAATGCCCCTATCTGGAGGGGCATCGGGGTAGCTCAGTCGGTTAAGCATCCGACTCCAACTCAGGTCAGGATCTCACACAGTTCATAGGTTCGAGCCCCGCGTCAGGCTCTGTGCTGACAGCTCAGAGCCTGGAGCCTGCTTCAGACTCTCTCTCTCTCTCTCTCTCCCCACCCCCCTCCTGTGCTCATGCTCTCTCTCTCTCTCAAAAATAAACATTAAAAATAAATAAAATTTTGAAAACACCGGTCTGGAAGACAAATCAATAAAAATAATAATAAAAGACACTCTAGGGTGTTAATATGTGCCAGACACTGTAGTAAGCATCTTGATATATTAACTTGCGGAAATGTCACCCAGAGCCTAGGAGGAAGGCACTACTACCACAGTAGCCTAAGGGAAGGAAGCTGGATGGTGGAGGAGGCTTATCGTCCTGACCATCTGACCCAGGCTACTGAGAAGGTGAGAGGCAGCGCTGGACTCACAGGCACCGTCAGGCTCCACAGCCAGTGTCCCAACCATAGGGCCACACCCCAGCTGTGCGTGTCCCACACTCATCACTGACTAGCTTGTCATCAAGCAGGACTGGGCACAGAGACTCAACCTCCCCTCTAAGCAGAGACGAGCATAATTCATGAGAAGCTGGTCTTCACCGAGGGAGGGGCCGTGTCACTCAAGTTCAGTGAGACCCAAGTGGGGTTCTAGGACTCACACTTACTCAGGGAAAATCTGGGCATCCAGAGCCAGACTAGTCTGGATCAGCAAGTCCATTAACAACAACAACTAATGTTCAGAGAGTATTTAATCACACGCCAGATACTGTCCTTGGTACTACTGTACGCATCGTCTAACCGACCCTCCAACCTGGGGCCATCTGGACCTCAGAGATCACTGGGCAACGTCTGCAGAGGTTTCTGTGGGTCACATCTAGGGTGGGCGTGACAATGTCATCTAATAAATGGCAGCCAGAGACACTGAACACCTTACAGTGCCCAGGACGGGCCCCCACACCAAGAATGACCTGGCCCCAAAGGCCAGCAGCGCTGACGTTAAGAAGCCTCGCTGTAACCAGGCCAGTTCTCACCTGTTCACGGATGAGGGAAAGGGGCCTTGGAAAAGAGCAGGCCCAGAG